TTGTTGTTGATAGCCTCTTTCTTTCCCTCTCTCTCACTTTCAAACACTTCCAGAAACTTTTGGGCTTTAAAAAACTATTCCATTATTAAAATCAAATTCTATTACTGGTAACAATCCCTTATATTTGAAAAGTTACTAGAATTCAATCTAAAAAGTGTGAATAGCTTTCTACATCCCTTGGGCAATAAAGTGTTCATGCTTTATGAGTCTGATCTCATTTTCATAAGAGTTGGACAAATGTATACACAGGGCTGAGCATCACATTTTTTCCAGACTTGTTTTTGTTTCTCTACAAATGTATAGTCACTCAAATTCAGCATGTTTTTTAAAGGAAATATTAACTTAATTTTCAACCTGTTCATTTTCGGAAAAGCTTAATCCACTTATAAGAATCATCTTACAAAAAATCAAATTTGATTTAATTTGATTTAATGAAAGTTAAATTCATTTCTTAAAAACAAAAGTATCTTCTCCTGTTTAATTAAATATATATCCATCTCACCTGCATGAGATTTTTTGTTAAGGATCATAACGCCAACATATTCATGTTTCTGCTAACAGAATATGCCAACTTCTTTTTCCTACTTTCTTATATATTTTTCTCTTTGAGTTGCTATATAAGCATTTTATATAAATGCAAAGATTTCATTTACCAGTGGAAACAGGTAAACTATGTAGGTGTTCACATCTTATTTTATTTTAGATAAAGAAGTAAAAATAAACTCTTAAGGGACTCTTTTTTAGAAATCCCAGATTATATCTTTCTTTTATATATTTTAATGATAAATTGTACTTCTCCTCCAACATAAAAGCATAGTTATAATTTTAAAGTACTCTGTAAAATTAGTTATTTAATCTCCCTCTTACCTGGAAAAACCCAGATTTCATAGGGGTGAGTCCTGTGTTTCTCTTATACATTGCTGCATAAAGTAGGCACTCAAATATTTGTTGAATGAAAGAATTAGTTCATGAATTTCAAGTTTCTGATATTTAATGAAAACTAGAAATAACCTCTCATGGCTCCAAGAAATGTCCTTTAGGGAAGGCAGGATCAAGATGGCAGTGTAGGAAGACCCTGAATCAGCTCCTCCCACAAACACACCAGAACTACAACTACACATAGACCAACTCTCCGAGAACGGCCTGAGGACTGACAGAAAGCCTTTTCTACATCCAAGAATGCAACTGAGACTGATAGAAGGAGAAGAGAAGCAATCCAGTTGGGATCCACAGGAACCACCACCACCCTGCACGTAACCCAGAGGAGGAGGGACATGTCGCAGACTTGGCGACCACCTAAGGATCAAGGGGTTCTAGCCCCACATTGGGCACTGTGGCCTAGGGTCTGGACTCAGGAACATGAGGGCACTGGCCAGGTTTTGAAAACCAGTGAGACTTAGCAGAGGACTAATGGAAACTGAAGCTCTGCTGTTATAGGCATGAATGTAGAGTTGCTCACTCCTGGTCCCAGCACAGAGGCAGAAGATTGAATGAAAAGTGCCTGGTGCTCTGGCTGACCAGCTATGTCTTCCCCAGCACACCGCCTAGACCACACAGGGCTGAAGCTCCAGTCCCTCCAGGTCCAACCCCACCACCAGCAAAGCAGTGACTACTATTGCGCTATGGGAAAAGCTTGTATTGGACTGTGGCTCCAGCCTCATCCCCCACCAAAGCCACGACCACCAGTGCACTTAAGGAGAAGCTCTGGCCCAGCTGACCTAAGACCCAGCTCCCCAAAGTCAATGCTCACATTCTGACTAAATAGGAATGCTCCCACACAGACATACACCTTCAAGACTGGGATAGGTAACTATTTCACCTAATTTCCTAATAACAGGGAATGTAAAACAAAATGAGAAGACAGAGGAATATATTTCAAACTAAAGAACAAGATAAAACCCAGGAAAAAATCCTAATGAAATGAAAATAAGTAAGTTACCCAAAAAGGAGTTTAAAACAATTGTCGTAAAAATGCTCACTGAACTTGGGAAGAGAATAGAGGATCATTGGTAAGAGCTTCAGTGAAGAGTTAGAAAATATAAGAAGAACCAATCAGAGCTGAATAATACAACAACTGAAATAAAATATGCAGTAGAAGAAATTAACAGCAGACTAGGTGGTGCAAAAGTATGCATAAGAAAACTGGAGAGTAGAAGAGTGGAAACCTTCCAATAAGAACAGCAAAAAAGAAAAAAAAAGAAACTCAAGCACTGTTGGTGGGACTGTGAGTTGCTGCAGCCACTAGGGAAAACTGTATGGAGCTTCCTTAAAAAACTAGCACTAGAACTATCATATGAACCAGCAACTCCACTCCTGAGCATTTATTCAAAGAAAGCAAAAACACTAATTAGAAAAGATACATGTATCCCTATGTTCATAGCAGTATTATTTACAGTAGTCAAGATATTGAAGCAACCTAACTGCTCATCAGTTGGTGAATGGATGAAGAAGTGGTTTATATATATGCAGTGGAATATTACTCAACCATCAAAAAGAACAATATTTTGCCAGTTGTGACAACATGGGTGGACCTTGAGGTTATTATGCATAGTGAAATGTACAAAGAAAGCTAAACACTGTGTGTTTTCACTTATATGTGGAATCTAAAAAACATAGCAAACAAATAGAATAGAACAGAAACAGACTAACAGGTATAGAGAACAAACTAGTGATTACCTCAAGAGAGTGGAATTGAGGGAAGGGTGAAATAGGTGAAGGGGATTAAAAGGTAAAAGCTGCCAGTTACAAAATAAATAAGTCATAAGGATATAGAATACAGCATAGAGAAAATAGTCAATATTTTATAATAACTTTACATATTAACCTAAAAAGTATTGAATGAGTATATTATACACCTGAAATTAATATAGTACTGTAAGTCAACTATACATTAGTAAATTTTTCAAAAAAAAGAAAAAGAAATGGTTTTTAGAAAATGACTCATGGCTTTAAAAAAATTCATTTGAAACCCATAATCCTATTTCAGCTGCATTATTATTGAACATAATGCTGGCAAAGATAGAGAAATAGATACTTTTTCTGGTTCATTAAACATTTATATAAATGATACAAACTGACTACCATGATAGTCTCTTTGATATTAAACAATGTAAAAAATGGTTTGGTGACAATTCTGTCACAGAATAAGGTTGTTCCATTAAGCATCTCACTATAAAATGACTCTGTACTAATCATATCCCAAGAGATGGTTATATAAAGAAACTTCTTCACTAAATCAACAGAAAGCAGATGTTTCTCTTGCCCTTACAGGTCAGAATTGCAAAGGCATTCATTTGTACAAATTTTGCATCGCCTTATGTTCATTGTATCCATAACAGTGTAAAACTAATTAAGGGGCAAGTCCCTGGAGCTCATTAGCTTTCATCTTCCCTTTAGGATCAATTACATAAAGAAAATAAGTGCCTGTAAGTAAGTGTTTTGGGCTCATCTCATCTCTCTTTTTGTCTTGGTAAACATGAATATTTACTTGGACTTGTCAACTTTTGAACAAGGTGTCCTGCTTCCAAAAATATTTATTTGGATTCTGGCCCACTGACAAAAAAAGAAAAGATGTCAGAAACCAATCTAGATAATACAGCTATGCTAAAACTTATCTGACTGTCAGAAGGAAGCCCATGGAGGGTCAGATCCACAAAACACTTCTCTGTTTCTTTAAGCTCAAATGGTGCTGGAATAATTCCAAATATTTTGGGGTCTGAAGAGCTTAATGTTCTAATTTTATTAAAATGTATTAACAAGACTATCCTTTGTCATCAATACCAGTTAATCAAGGCAAAGAGAGGTATTGATCATAAGCAGTTACCTCAGTTAAAGCAATCTTAATATTCTTACATAATTTAAAACAAAAATAAGGGTCATCCAAGATATTTAAGTTGGAGAAGGAAATGGCACCCCACTTCAGTATTCTTCCCTGGAAAATTCCACAGACAGAGGAGCCTGGAGGGCTACAATCCACGGGGAGTCGGACACAACTGAGCGACTGAGCAGAAGCTATTTAAGTAGATTTGCTTGAAGGGCAGTGGGAGCACGGACGATTTTTTTTCCTTGACAACTCTAATAAAGCCTTCAAAAGCAATGCAACCAAAACCATCAGTTGCTTCATTTTGTTTAATATATAGTCAAAGCCTTCACTAGCCTCTCCTGTGAAGTATTTGACAATAAGACTCCGTTTGAACCATATTACATGGCATATTAGGCAGAAAATGCCAAGAGCAGAAGGCAATCATCAGATGCGGGATCCGTGAAGCAAATTTACTGAAACTGTTAGTAAATTTACTGGATCATTGCTTTTGGAATTCCACATAAATCATGCAGGTCACTGTATTTAGAAAAAGTACATACTGCCTAAATGCAATATCCAAAAATGATAACGGAATGCTCCCTGATACTACTTTAGTTGGAATGACCTGCCTTTGGTTTGGCTATTCCTACAGATCCAGACAAATATGTTTCAAATATTTATTCAAATAAAGAGTATGAGATAGTTTTTCAAAACCAATAACAGAAAATTGCTTTTGGAAAGCTAAATAGAGAATACACCTTCACTTGAGTACTTCAGGACATAGCCACCACAGATGGTAGTCCTACATCTAATTTTAGCCAGCTCTCCAAACAGCAAATACTCAATAACAGAGGATTGCTGCCATCTACAGGCTTCATGAAACTTTATCCTAAATATTTAAAATGTTTTCTGAAACTAAGGACAAAAAGTCCCTATTTTAAACAGATTCAATGTATCAGCCTGCATTCCCAAAAAAGAATACATAAGAAAGCATCCTGTTCATTAAAATCTTTCAAATGATTTCTGAGATTTCTTCCTATTAGTTGGACTTGATCTTTCATACCCAGATTCTGGGTATGAAATATATTTAAAAACAAATATTTTAAAACCTAGAATAGTTTTAGTAAATTAGCTTTCTTGTACCAAGTAATACATAAACAGTAATCATTATCTTATGACCTTATCTATATTTTCACAGTGGTCCTCATCGTCATCCAATTAATTTTCCCCTCTTATAACCTCTTAGTTAGTAACATATAAATTACTATTAAATGCCATGAGGTAAAATGACTGACTGCTGAGAATCTGAATTGAGAAGACTCATCTTTCAACTCTGGCTCTACGGCTTACCAGTGGAATGACCCTGACAAGTAAGTCTCAGTGTCTTAATCGTGAAAGTGGAAAAAATATCTGTTCCATAAGGCATTGTGAGATTTAAATTTAAAAATTTGTTAAGGACACTAATAACAGTCACTGACATTTAGCTCTTTAAATATTAACCTTATCATAATAAATGCTATTGTTATCAGAATAAAAGTTACATATTAAAAGGTAAGGAATGGGATTTTGTTATCTTATTATCTCTATGTTTATATGTAAATTTATGTATTCACACCTGAATACACATGCACACAAACACACACACACACACACACACATATGGAGGTGTTAACCTATATTCCCATATGTCAACATAGTAGGTAAAGCCAAAGTATTTATTCCAGGGGTTCTCAAACCTGGTTGAGCATTGTAATATCTTTGGGAAATCTTAAAAACTGTGGATGCCCAGCTTCACTCCAAGATTCTGATTGTTCACAGGCCATTTTTTTCAAAGCATCCCAAGTGATTCTAACGTATGGCCAAAGCTGAGAACTAGTATTATATATACATTCAGTTTTACAATTTTATTATATAAAAAAATTAAATCATAGATTCTTTCAAATATGCACATGTCAAAAACTTATGATATTCATCACTGTGTAGCTAATTTTATGATGTCATATATATTGTTTTTCAATTATGTCTCTATTGAAAACATTTATAAAATAAACCATTTTCCTAGTTGTTAGCACATTTTGACAATGGATTGGAAAAAAATCATATTTGTTTTTACCTATCAGCAACACCACTAGTGAGGATTCTATCACTAAAGCATATCTGCTTATTTGGTTGAAGTATTTTAGCTTGTTAATTTGTAGTTTAAAATTTGGGGGGATTCCTACAAGCCTGATTCTTTAGCAAGTTACCCTAGCCAAATTGGAGTAAAGGCTAAAGGCTAATTCCATATTTGTAATCTGAAAACAAATGAGACAAGAAAAGGAAAAAGGAAAAGTCATTATAGTCTATAGAGGCTAGCATTTTACATTCTGCAAGTACATTCTAAATTTTTAAACCACAACTTAATATTTACAGAGCCTGGGTCATACCTGGATTCAGATGTACATTCAAATATAAAGTTTTTATGATTCTAACTGCATATCTGAGTTAATCTTAACAATTTCAGCATAGTTAAAATGATACTCTCGATTCCAGTATGAATATGAACACATAGTACCAAATTACAATCTTTCAGTAGCAACCTTCATCGTAAAATGGAAATTTTTCACAAATGATATACTGTTTTCCTAGCAATGCTTACCTAAGAACTACTGAGTTACTTTTTAGAGTATAAACAGATGCTTTTCCACTTCTTCCTGGAGTATGCATCTTCATATAGTCTGTGTAATTAACATGTAATTCAGGCATTAAAATTATAAAAAGGAAAATATTTCACTCAAAAGTAGCAAATTGAACAGCTGAGGGAGGGAAGTAGACTTCTCAGATATACACAACCTTTAGATTGTTTAGGGTAAAGCATGGCATAATTATATTTTGTCTGAATTTATTACTGGATACTCTGAAATGGCCTATATGGGAAAAGAGCCTAAAAAAGAGTAGATAGATGTCTCTGTATAACAGATTCACTTTGCTGCACACATGAAACTGACAAAACACTGGAAATCAACTATACTTCTATTTTAAAAAGTTTTTGAAGTTAGTTAAAAAAAAAAAAAACTAGTTGCCACTCCTCAAAAACACTTAGGCTCTGGAGTTAAGAAACCTGAAATCAGACCTCAACAGTTCAAGTTGCTTAACTTTTCCATGCTTCAGTTTCCTTTTCTATAAAGTGAGGATAATGATAGTGCCGACCTCACAGAATTGTTGAGAATCTTAAATGAAATTATACATGTGGGTTAGTGTTGAGTACATAGTAAGCATTCAATAAAGTTTGTTATTATTATGACAGAGAATGAGATGATTGGATGGCATCACTGACTCAATGGACATGAGTTTGAGCAAACTCCAGGAGACAGTAAAGGACAGGGGAGCCTGGCCTGCTACAGTCTATGGGGTCACAGAGAGTCAGACACGACTCAGTGAATGAATAATAACAAATACATGTGACATATGTGGATTAGTGTCCAGTACATAGCAAGCACTCAGTGAAGATTTTTGTTATTATGCCATGTGATGAAGGGTTAAGGAGTACCCTAACAGTGAAGAAGAAAGGCAGTGAGACCTAGAGAAAGCTGAGACTGCTAGAAGCACAGTGATCTAAAGGTCACAAGACTATTTGAGTCTTATGACTATTTGAGTCAAGACTATTTGAGTCAAGACTTGAGACTATTTGAGTCAAGTCATATTCAAAGTTATGTTGGCCCCCAGTACAACAGTACAATACATTATAATACAGTATAATACTTTTACAGTGTAATTCATTATTTCTGGCAGAGATTGCTAACCATCCTCTTTGCTTTAGTAATAGAATTTCTGCACTTCCTCCTGACACAGGATCACACAACAGACTATTTTTTACATTCTTCCTTTCAAATAGGTGTCTCCATATGTCTCTATCCTCAACAATGGGATATGGAGAGAATTGAAATATGCTACTTCTGGGCCAGTCTTTGATCTCTAGTTTCTCCTTCCCTTATTCTAAAGGCTAGAACATGGGCAAGGTGCTAGTGAAGCAGCTCCAGCCATTCAAGGGAAGACTTCATCTGGTGGACAAGGAAAGGAAAGGAAATCAGATTCTTGGATGACATCATTGAACAGGGCTAACCACCACCTTGGATTATCATCCATCCACCTCTGGATTATCACATGTCAAGAGAAACAGCTCCTATTTTGTGTAAGACACTTGATCCACCTTCTGTTTACTTACACTATTTCATAAATAACTAGAAGGGGAAAAGGGAATATAAAGCAAAAATAGAGGAACCTTGAAGCTTCACATTGATAAATCTAATCATTACTCTAAGAAAACATTGAAAATCTCTTTCCTGAAGAGTAATCAAAATAATGAAAATAACTTTAATTGCAAACACACTATGTTCCAGGCACTAAGCTTTTTGCATACATTGTCCCACTAAGCTCTACTGTATCTCTATGAGGATGGTCTTAATACATCCTCATTTTCAGGTAAGAAAGGTGAGTCAGTGATATTAACTAAATTGCCCAAGGTCACATGAGTAGAAAGTGAGAGTTGAGATTTTTAACCAAGGTTGGCTTAATTCTACAACCCCAGATTTTCCTTACTCTAAATCCTGCCTCCCATGGAAAAAGAGTAAACAATTTAATAATTTTGAAGGCAACTCAGGTACTAAGACTCTCTAGCACATGTACTTTTGTATTACATTATTGCCAAGCAGTTGTGATTTTTTTTCCTACTGGGAAGCATACTTTACATAATTACCTTTTCTTTTACCTAAATGTTATGAGTGTCTGGACATTGTTTTAATTGGAAATGTAAATTTGAGCTGTGCACACACAGACACAAACACATCAAACTTTTCAAGTTAACAATGAGGTCAGCTAGCTCAAAGTGAGGGAACAGCTGTATAGGATTTGGAACTTAAGTTGATAATTGGCTTCTTGTTCAAAAGGAGCCAATATTGAGCAAATTATAATTTGAAATTATTATATTTTCTTCAATAGACATTCTTTAATGAAACAGCTACTAAAGATTATTTCTGGAAACTGAAGACTGTCTCGTGATTACGTGTTTGTTGACCTCTGAATGAGAGTTCTCAAAAAAAAACAGGTTGTAGTTTTGTTTAAAGACTACCCAGAAATTTCAGTCCTTTTTCTAAAGCATATCATTTTTGTCAAGTATAATATATATAGTTGGCCATGAGTAAATACCACTAATTTGAGATTTGATTTTTGAGACCAGCAGTCAGTTCTGGAAAGAACGGCAAAACCTATCTGTGAATATGCTATTGACATTTGGGCCACTCTTTAGGAATATAAAAATTCTTTCACTAAAACTGTATCATCAAAACCATGTAATATGTTCCAAGCAAGCTGCAAATTTAGTGTTCAGTACTAAATTTAATGGAATTCAAATCGAGGCCCATTGAAATAGGTATTTAAATACAGATAATTTCAGATTTACAATCAGATCTTGTGAGTGAGTTAGTCACTCAGTCATGTCCGACTCTTTTGTGACCCCATGGACTATAGCCCTCCAGGCTCCACTCTCCATGGGATTTCCCAGGCAAGAATACTAGAATGGGTTGCCCTTTCAGATCTTAGTTCTTGCCATAGACTGCATGTTTGTGGCCCCTGAAATTCTTATGATGAAATCTAATCCTTAAGAGATGAGGTCTTTGGGAGATGATGAGGTCATGAGGGCAGAGCCCTCTCAAATTGGATCAATGTCCTTATAAAAAGACCACAGTGAGCTCCACCGAGTCTTCTACCATGTGAGTACACAAGAAGATGACCATCTATGAACCAGGAGGTCAAGACACAGATCCTGTCATCATGGAGCTCTCAGTCCATAGGTGGGACTGGGGCGGGGCGGGGGGAGGGGGGGTGCGGTCAGAGCACCATGAATAAATGTTAAATCACAGCTATGGTAGGTTTTATGGTGAAAAATTAGATTGTTACAATACAACAAAACAGGAGGATATGATATAGTCTATGATGTCAGGGGGACCTTCTCTGAGGAAGCAATGTTTAAGTTGTGTACTAAAAGATTAGGGTTTCCCTGATAGCTCAGTCGGTAAAGAATCTGCCTGCAATGCAGGAGATCCCCAGTTCAATTCCTGGGCCAGGAAGATCCTCTGCAGAAGGGATAGGCTACCCACTACAGTATTCTTGGGCTTCCCTTGTGGCTCAGCTGGTAAAGAATCCGCCTGCAATGCAGGAGACCTGGGTTGGGAAGATCCCCTGGAGAAGGGTAAGGCTACCCACTCCCGTATTCTGGCCTGGAGAATTCCATGGACTGTATAGTTCATTTGGTTTTAAAGAGTCAGACACAACTGAGCGACTTTCACTTCACTTCACTAAAAAAATAAAGAAGCTACCAGAGAAGAAGATGCAGGTAGTTGTAACTGTATGAAAAAAGGAAAGAACATTCAAGAAATTAAAAGGAAGACAGTGGAGTTTGGAGCAAGATGAGATTGGGGTAGAAGTTGGAGCCAGAATTGGCAGAGCTTTATACACTATGTTAATGATTTTGGTCACTGTCTTAGGAAGAATAGGAAGACAGTTGAATGAAAAGGGGACAAAAATTCCTTGCCCTCCACAGTCCCAAGGAGAGTCATGTCAAATGCAAAGAAAAACAAACAAAAAATTATCTTGATGAATTTTTGACTATTTAGGAATTTTTTAAAAGGTAATTGAGACTATATATGATTTCACCTGAGGGTTAACTTTAGAACTAATATCGTCTCTCATCACCACCACTACCTCTTCCCTGTAATATGTCTGCCATTAGGTGTGTAATCTAGAGGTACATGAAAGCAAGACACCTGATCAAGTTATAACAGAAGTTTCAGTTCAGTTCAGTCCTGTCCGACTCTTTGCCACCCCATGAATCACAGCACGCCAGGCCTCCCTGTCCGTCACCAACTCCCAGAGCTTATCAAACTCATGTCCATCGAGTTGGTGATACCATCCAGCCATCTCATCCTCTGTCGTCCCCTTCTCCTCCTGCCCCCAATCCCTTCCAGCATCAGGGTCTTTTCCAATGAGTCAACTTTTCACATGAGGTGGCCAAAGTATCAGAGTTTCAGCTTCAGCATCAGTCCTTCCAATGAACACCCAGGACTGATCTCCTTTAGGATGGACTGGTTGGATCTCCTTGCAGTCCAAGGGACTCTCAAGAGTCTTCTCCAACACCACAG